TATCGAAATAACTCAAAAACTACTGGGCCGATTTCATAAATTCTTTCACCATTAAAAACTAACGTTATCAGTAATATAGGCTATATTATTTTTTTAAATTCACGTGGACAAAGTTGCAAGCAACAGCTAGGTTTTAATATTTCTTGTTGTATTTGTAATGTGAAGATGAGGCACTGAGATTTATTCAACTATTTACAACTTAGCAACGTGGACGACATCGACCTGTACACCGGAGCGCTGGCGGAGCAGCCGCACGGCAGGCTGCTGGGACCCACACTCACTTGCTTGCTGGCAGACCAGTTCTTAAGACTCAAGATCGGCGACCGCTTCTGGTACGAGACCGACGACCCGCAAGTCTCCTTCACTACGGGTGAGTTATCTACGTGACACCGAATAGCAGTTGAAATAATTCCATTAGTTTTTTGTCATTAATATTTCCTTTTTTTATTTTAGAACAACTTCAGGAAATTAGAAAAACAACACTCGGTAGTGTGATCTGCGCGAACGAGGAGTTGCTGGAGCAGGCGCAGCCGCGGGTGATGGAGGCCCCGAGCGCCACCAACCCGCTGGTGGACTGCAAGGAGCTCCCGCAGCCAGACTTCACGCCCTGGAAGGTCCCCGGACCTGCTGTACCCGCGCCTAAAAAACCAGCAAAAAAAGACAAAAAAATAAAACCAAAAAAATTGTTGTAGTAAGATAATTTTATAAAAAAAAACTGTAAACAGTTACGTAATTTATAAAAAAACCTTTGTATAGTCTTCATTTTCATTCCCTTATATGTCTTTTTCCACTTGAATTTGATTTTTTAGTGGCCGAGTGGAAATAAGCACTAAATCATGCGGGTACAAATGCTAGTTTTGAATGTTTGATAAACGATGCACGTTTTCCTAAACTTATGTAATTGTAATTAAATAGATAATTAATTCTATGTCTACTCTAGCATCATAAAATAAATTACTTATAAACTACTCTTTTTCTGCCTTTTTTCATACTATATGCATCCTTGATAAAACCATTGTAAATATATCAATACACAGTTATTTTGAAAATCTCAGCTTCACTATATTTAATTACCGTTTTGTCCATTTTTCATCTAATATAGCACGATAGATATAGTAATAAATAATTATTAATTTTGTATCATTGTATTTTATTGATGTGAATGCAATCTGTGCCAAAACAATAACGTTATGAATAAGCGGCTATTTTAGCACCAGCTAATTTTAACTATAAAATAACGTAACTAGTTACTCTTACGTTGATCAAAACAGCTATTTTATTAAGCTTTCTGACAGTGATTTTAAGCGTTTTTAACGTTTAACTTATTTATAGAAGTAATTGTAATTAAATTAAGAGCCAATTTGTTTATGCTGTGATTTGCTTTGTTACCTTTTTGCAACTAGTTTAAGTAGAGTTTATTGGCTTTTTTATATAGTTGACACTTTCGTTTACAATGGCGCTTCACTGGTAGTTTTGGCTTCTGTTTCATTTGGCTTATTTTATTAAAAAAATAGTTATATATTAAGTGTCTTGACATTTTTTTGCGCTTTACTTCTTGCGATTTTATATTAATTACTAAATTTTCATTAAAAATTGAATTAAACAATTGTCATGCTCTCTGTATAAAATTGTTAGCTTAAATATAACTATTGTGAATTGAATAAATATGTTTGATTATTAAACCTTTTTTTTTTATTTATAGACCCCAATGCAACCAGATTTCGAAATGACGTAACGATTAGTTACTTGAACCAAAAAATATTTATAAACAACTAGCTGTCGCCCGCGACTTCGTCCGCGTGGAATTAAAAAAAAAACAAAGTGAGTAGCCTCCTATATGTCCTTCCATACTATCCTCTACATATATACCGGATTTCAAAAAAATCGGTTCAGCCGTTTAGGCTACAAACTCTAACAAACATCCATCTAAACATTTGCCTTTATAATATTAGTATGATAAGTTATTCAAAAACTTGTTTCTCATACAATCTAGATCAAAATGGTTATGTTTATTTTAAATAAATGTTCTTAAGGTGTCAAACAAGTGGACGAATGTGAGTCATAATTTTTACATTGTTATTTGGCTATCTGTGGGAAGCCGTCGGCCTTGCTAACTGAATCGAGTCCTACTGTTAAATAAACAGCATCTATGGTAAAACAGACAAACAAATAAAATGTAAACCGTATGTAATGGTAATAAGGTATAGAAACAGTTTGCAAACGGTAAAGTTAACTTAGTCAAATGTATATGGAATCTGACGTCATTTATTGGCGTATCCTGAACCTTGAGCTGACTTCTCTTAGGTCTTACGTATAGCACTGTGTTAGCACCAATTACATATTTAATAGCTCACAGCGTAGCATTTTTTACCTTAAGTTGAAAGCCACAAAGTCTGTTTTACTCCTTGTTTATTATTCGTAAACAATTAAGGCGCGAAAAATGCTTTTTTTAATTGTTTATGGCTGTTTATTGCATCTGTAATTTTCCTACTTTCACCATATTTGTCACGATGACGTTTTTAAGTTAATTGTTAATGGGAAATGGCGGCAAAAATAATTACGAACGTAATAGGAACCGATTTAACGCGTGTTTAATATCGCTTGTTTTAATAATACCTTTACGAGAGGTAAAAATATTTAAAAAACAAGACATAGTACTATTGCAATAATATTTAATCTAATTAGATCACACGAATAATATTTATGTCCAAAGAAACAACATATTAAACTGATTAGACATACCAGAGATGAATTTTATCTACCTCGGGTACTTTTATTACACTAAAACCGTATCATTTACTTTTTGACCGACTTCCCAAAAGAAGGAGGTACTCAATTCGTCTGTATGTTTTTTTTTTGAAGACGAGCTGTCGTCCGCGAACTTCGTAAGCGCAAGAAACCACCCGTTACGCCATTTCGACAGCGCGGAATTAAAAAAAAATAGTCTATAATATGCCTATCCATGTGAGTTACCCTCCAGTGAAAGTCTGGTCGAGATCGGTTCAGCCGTTTCGGAGATTACCCGGAACAAACGCGGCTTCTGGACAGACAGACATATAGACAGACAAATTTTCTTTTCGCTTGCTGATCTTTGCATCTCCCTGAAAAATGGATTTTTTCTTTTGATATTACAAACGGACACTTCATCCTTATTATATGTATAGAAGATATAGAAGGGGAAATAAGCCACGAGAATCGCAGATGCGTTGCCAGACTTTAAGGATCAGGTTAAGGCTCGGAAATGTCATTTAGGATAGAATATTACTTGTTAGCATGTCAACAAGAGAGTTTATCGTAAAGTATATAAAAACAGGAAGACACGTATTGAGAAAAAACCTAGATAAAGTATGACACATAATTAGTTTATTATTTAAACATTGATTCATTACTAGATCAATGACTGGAAGCGGCACCGGGGACTTCTGTTTTGACGTCACATTGCCACCGGTGTGTCATCAAACTGAATCCAATGGTTACGTAGAAATGGTAGGTAAGAAAATGACTTCAAACTGAGATTGATTTTAAACTTCTTAAAATATTAAAAATGCGAAAATTTAGATGGATGAATGGATGTTTGTAGCCTAAACATCTAAACGGATCTCGATGAAATTTGGCATAGACATAGAAGATAGTCTGGAAGACTACAAAGGCTATTTCCTTTTTTTTTAATTCCACGCGGACGGAGTCGCGGGCGAAAGTTAGTATTTCATATTGAATTTTACATTATACTAAACTTACTAGTTCATAGTTTGAAGCTCAGAAACAAGATAAGACTTAGTATAGTGCTATTCAAAGTTTGTGGCAGCTCTGAAAGTTGCATTAGCACGTTACGCGCTATAATTTTATTACACTACACATTCGTGCGTTAATAACCAATGGAAGACTTGGTATCCTCTTAAATAGCAGCATGCAATCATGTAAGGAGATGAGCGATATAAAAGTTTGATTCTCATAATACACGTGTTCGCGAGCGCATATCCTTGTGTTGGCATTATTCCGGCTGCGGACGCGGTTGGCAGCCCGCTGATTGGCACTCTGGCACTGGCATGCCACGCTTCACGTGCATTATGTCATAACGCCAACGTCCCCACAATGGATATTGTATTATTGACGTAATACATGCATTCCTACCTTTATTCTATTATCTTGTAGAAATATTTAAGGTAATGCGTCGATTTTGGTACAAACCACTAACAAATGAAATATTGGGTATATTAAAGATCTTAGTGTATAACAAATATTTGGAAGGTCATTCAAGAAATACTAATCCGAGTAAAATAAAAAGGTTAATAAATAAAGACATACGGACGTATCTCCACATTTAAAGCGATATACGTAGGTTGGCGCGCAAGTAAATGACAATCATAAACAAACGAAATGAACGCGCATTCCACCGCGCGATCACTCGCCTCTGCACTTGCAACAAATACGGACAAAATCGTTGGCGTACAAAATTATGTGCCATTTCGATGATGTAACTTCTCACCTTCTCTAACATATCTAATTAATGTTGTTAAAAAACAATTTAAATATCTCGTTTAAGTCCAAATAAAAATTCGCGCCAATTTTAAAAAAAGGTGAGTTACAATTATTTCTAACCGCAAGACATAGAAAGAAGATTTTTTGGAAATGATAGACTTTGTTTCGTACCGGCTAACACGCATCTATGAATGTTAATGGCAGTTTAGTCTATTGTTATTACTGTCCCCTCACTAGTCTATGGTACCGTCATATTTATTGTTTTATCAAAGCGCCACGCGCGCTGACGTCGAGGTAAGACGTGATAAAAACAATAATACAACTCGATCTAGAAACATCGATGGACACGTGAGATATTAAAAAGATAACTTACACCCAATCTCAACAGCGTGATAGATTGCACGTGCATTTTACCCACAGAGATAGCAACGCGAAAGTTGCAATTTCTAGCAAGTAACTATTTTTCACTTCCAGCAAGTTTCACTTCCAATCTAATAACTACAAATGAAGCGATATTTTTTTTAATTTTTGCAGCTTCGAAGACTTTTAAAAAGTATTCGTTGGATAATACCGAGTAAACTTAACCAAATAAATACTGATTATTAAACAACATTCAAGCTTCTATTTACTTAATGTTTACATAATAAATATTACAGCATTTACATATTCAAACGTATTTTTAGTACCTTATCTGCAGTAAGATAACTGCGAGTAAAAACACGTGAAATAACGAAGTAAAAATTGCAATCTGTAATCGGTATTGTTGAATGTTCATGTTAATTATTTTTAATTGGATAAAGTATCATTTAAAACCAAAACAGCATATCAAGTAAAGAATCTATACGACGTGAGACATGGTAACTGGCGTCAAATACTTGGAATAGAACCATGCAACGCCATCTATTAGCGAGTTTAATAAGAATAAAATCTTTCCTCCTAAGCTCCTAGTTCCTCAATATTCAATACACATATTTTATATTTTAATACGAACACTTGTTTGCCTGCATTGTGCTTGCATCACAGTTTGTTTGTTAACCACATTAACTACTTCCTCATAGTCATGTTTGGATGTACATTCGTAGAAATCTGCGGTGCACTGAACAGAAAACCTGCCTTGTTTCTTGCAAAAAACAAACTCCGTCTGATAGTTGGGCAAACGACGGTATAAAATCAATCAATTGACCGTGTATCATTGACGATTTTTTTTGGTACATTTTAAAGCTGCTTCTTATTTTTTCTATAAAAAGTGTAAACGATTGTAACTTTGAGTAGAGTCACCATCAGATTTCCCGACTGTACCTAATTAGAATACTAGCAATAGGTACATACTACGATCATCTCTGCTATATTTAGCTAAAACAGAAACACAAAAACAGCCACGATAAATGTATGGAAGAGAGCAAGAACATATTTAGGCGTCATTTCTGTCCTAATGTTCGACGACTTAGGGTGGCAACACTTTCTGTAACTTCTTGACCTTACTAATATTATAAATGCAAAAATTTGGATGGATGGATTTTTTGTTAGAGTTTTTTGCCTAAACTTCTAAAAGGATCTTAATGAAATTCGTCATAGATGTAGGGGATAGTCTGGAAGAACATATAGGCTACTTATTTTTTTTTAATTTCATGCTGACAGAGGGTTTTTCAGAGTGGCAGGAGAAAGCTAGTTGAACTACAATCAAAGTATTGTAACTGCGGCAATTTAAAAATAATAAAAATGTCTTTGTTTGTTTATTTTTTTCGACATTATTTATTTACTATAATTTGGTGAGTTTCCTTATTCGGTAAGTTATTTGTTTACTAAAGAACAAAAATAATATTAATAATTTATGATCTTTATAAAAATATAGGTTATTGTAACTTTAATTTTGCAAGCAATTAAAAGAAATAAAATGGAATGCATCTACCATAAATGTTTTTATAACATGACCAAATATTAACAACATTTAACTTGCCTTGACCGCAAAAATAAACAACTTTGACGGTCGCGTCTCCAAAGTGCTCTTGATTACCACTTTCGAAATAGTAATCTTCACTTGGTCGTCTTATAATACGACCACATTGGAAAGTAAGGCACTGCCAACCGAGTCACACTTTACAGACGACTTCTTAAATTAGTCAACTAATAACATCAAACGTTATCAATGATAACCCTCATAAATTCAAATGTTGCTATTATAATTTGGTGTAAGAATAGATGTCGTGTATTTTTAAAATGGTCGGTTTATTCTCTTATGAGAGACGTTCAATGCGGCTTCCGTCGCGCGTCACGTTTTGTCTACACGTGACCCAACGTAGCACGTGTTCTTATAGTTATGGTTGCACTTATTGCTAATGTATTTTAAAATTTGCCCATATTTAGGGTAAAATATAAATTATTTTAGGAAGGATTATGTTTGAAAAAATGTTTAACTGTGACTTCACCTATGTATAAGAAATAAAGAAAAATCTCTAAAGTAAACATTGTTTCATTTGTTTAAAACTACTAAATGTCGGCATATACTTGCTTGTTATTTTAAAATGTTGAGTACTATCATCCGTTTCCTGCTTCTTTAATTTTTATAAATATACAGTAACAAATAAATCATAACTTGTTCCAATAAGTTATTTATTTATTTAGCCGTGGGGAACCGGTCTCGGGAGTAGCAATGTACGCGGCAACACTGCTCGAATGTGGTAGAACGAGACGCATTCCGCGACTTACCATAGAAAGTTCTGGAATTTTCGATGCAACCAATGTACTCGCACTTTCTTTCATTTAATCGCATTATTTTAATTCAATTAAATTAATTATAACTGATTAATAATTGTCGATGATTACATTACAAAAAAAACTTTTGTTATGACTAAAAAACCTGTATCTGGGTTCAAGTGTAATTACAAACTTATGACTATCAATAAAAAAAATCAATGTAGATAATTAGACTTACATTTTTATAGTAATTATGCTTAACTAATTTAAAATAACATAGAATTACCATAAACTAGTTAAAAAAGGAAAAGAAAAGTAAATATATGTACTATTTTCGAATCGTTATAATATATTTTATATTCGATTTTTAAACGACTTCCAAAAGCAGGAGGTTATCAATTTGTCTGTTTTTTTTTGCATACTAAGTTGCATATTATCGTTCTTATTTGGTGTTATATGATAATTTTAGACTACATACATATTTTGCATTTTCTTCCGTTCTAACAGAAAGTGCGTTATCTCACCCCAGTAGGTGTATGGATGTTTGTTCGCGTTTGCGCATTCTTACTTTCCCGGACGCCAAGCTTGGATCAATAACAGCATATTATGGTTGTCAAAATGTTATTTTCTACAACTAAAACGTTTCAGTTAGAAATAATTATAGCAACTCCAAGGACGTTTTAAGGTCAGAACTATAGGTAATCACTGGCAGCAAAACTTTTTTTAATTTTGAAATAAATTTACCCTTCGACGATGATCTTACGATTAATGATTTGGACAAATAGTAGTAAATGACGTTAACTAACTTGAACTGTAGTTTCTTTTGCTTTAGGGTATCCTAAGATCTCACTAATATTATAAATGCAAAAGTTTAGATGGATGGATGTTTCTTAGAGTTTGTAGCCTAAACTGCTGAACAGATCTCGATATTATAATTGTCGAATGGCGGATTCGATCACAATCCTTGAAGTTAGCACTTCTAAGTACTAAATTACGAGTTAAAATTAGTAAATAAAAATTGTAATGTTTTACTACTTGCTGTAATGAAACGTTTTAGTAAAAAATTAACATTAAATTTTTACATTTTTTTTTCTCTTCCTTAACTTCTCTTCCGAAGCAGGAAGATGCCGGAAGAAGACATTTATCACTCCGTGCTATTGGAAAGAGGACGGCAAGTCACAGAACAATAACGATTATTGTCAATTTTTAAACTGACTAATTTTGTCAGAACTTACAGCTAACTGTGAACTAAGCTATTATCATATTTTTTGAAAACGCATGAATTTTTAAATGATTAATTTGTAAATTATTTTAATTACATAATTGCTAACCGTTAATCGTAATAATTCTCGTAAATCATTTGTTTCAATCACTTTCTAATATGTCAAGTCTGATAAATTGACGGAATTCAAAATCGTTCGGTGGCATCAATAGAGACATGGGCATTTTATTACTCTTTATAGAAGCAACGTTGATATCAATCAGGTAAGTTGTCACCTCCGACACTAATGCGGATATAACCGTACAAGCTGACAGAAGGTTGTGACAATAATTTGTTCCGACATATATACAGTGCCTTGTCAAATGACATTTACTTCATTTACAACGATAATGTTTTTATTAGTTCGAAATAAACACTGAAGACAACTGATTTATTGAGTTTTTAATGTAATATCGCAAACTGTTGACAGCTAAGGTTAGGAAATAAAAATAGTTTTCTCTGGTATTGCGGATGTCCAGGCGTCGTTGGTCACTTCGATGTTCTCGCTGCTTGCCTCACTTTTATATAAGAAAAAAATCATTTTCGCTTTTAAAAACTGTTTACAATTGCTCGGATAAATAATTCCTTGTTGGCCAGGTTAACAGCAAATGCAGTCGTTATTTTTTTTTATTAAAAAATCGTAGTTATTGATCCAACTTTATGAGTTTTCATAACACAAATCATTTGTCGTGACGCAGATTGAAGAAACAAGGTTATTTATAATTAGACCCGTCCTGACCGTCCCCGTTGACCTGCAACACGCCCTTTTCTAAATAAATGAAATAAAAAAGCAACTATTTCAATAGACTTTTCGTTACCTCATTCAAAGTTCCTTGGATACCAATAAACGCTTTACGGATGATTTATTTTTGAGTGAAATATACCTATCTTTGTGATGGATTTAAAATAAAACCAGAACAACAGCTACTTCTGTTGAAAACAATTACTCACATTGAAACCGTGTCATTGTGCTCGGAGGCGTGATAGACGAATTTCTAGTAGAGAGTTCAAAGCCTGACTTATAAGTGTTCACTAATTTAGATATGTTCATCTTTAAACGCAAAGCAATCGCATTTTTAATTTAAAATTCCATAATCGTTCCAAATCATTCGTTAATCCTTAACTAAATAACTTTTGCGCGAAAAAGTTCATTGACCTTGTTTGTTTCTAAATTAGGTTATGTTGAAATGGAGCGGTCACTCAACGGAAATTATTTGCAATAAGGCGAGTGAACTGACATATTTTAGCTAATAATACGCGGTTCACACTTAGCCAATACAGTTTAGTAACGCTCTTCAACTGGAGTAATCAACTGGCATAGTGTGAATGCTAACTGGCGCCTTTGTGTCCAAACAATCTTACTGGCCGTTGCAACTGTCTAACTGTACTAGCTAAGTGAGCACCGCGCATAAGGCTACTATACTGACCTAAACAATAGAATGATTAAATAAATGTATACCGAGAATAATTCTTTTTTCGCATGGATTTGACCGTATGTTTTGTAATTGTATATATTTGTCTTCCTTTAATCGCTTTTCTTATATTAGTTACATTAGTAACACGAATGTCTTCCTAGTTGCTAACAGATGGCTCCCTGTTCGTAGATTGAAAGACCGATTTTAGCGACGTCGATGTTACCTATTTAACATTTTCGCAAATTAAACACTACTCGTTTACATACTCCTTTTCTCTTGCATCTTTCCTGCTACCATTTTCTAGTATTAATCAGAAAAAATACTGAATTCAAATTGTTCTCTATAATTTTTTTGGTTATTCGTCGTTCATACGGCGCTCAAATATTTATGTATTATTTGCGTTTTTTATGAGATTTTTTTAATAGATTAAACAGGACAGTAGTTAGTTTAGAATTAGACCGTTATTTTAATATCAAATGCAGATAAAAGTAGATAATAATTGATGGTGTTGTATAATTCGGCGAGACGCGTTGGCGGGCGCCTCGGATATTTTTACACATGACGCGGGCACTGCGCGCGCCTCCACCTCAGGCCCCGACTGCAGCGGAAAGATACGCTGAAGCGGGTAATCAATGAAGTTTTTTGTTAAATTATTCCACCCAAGTGAAACATATTACATTTCAATAATAGAAGTAACCAGTAGTACTAGTATTATGTGTGGTAATATTGTAATCTATTTCCAATATAAAATTGCGGCAAAGTATTTTTAACGCACTTACATTGAATTCTATTAGTGCAAGTTGGTATGTAATTTATTTTCAGGTAAATCATTAGCTGCTCTTATGCGATAACGTTAAACTCAGTTTTAGTGGCTCCACCCTGCTCCAGCAGCCAAGGTCCACTGCGGCGTGCCAACTGACGTGACGCTCGATTCTCTGCAGCTGTTTATATACTAAGCTATACACCAACCCAATGTTCTTCACCCTTGAATTTTTACTAGGTTATTTGAGAGAAAATTTACGATTTTTTTTAGTTCTTATATAAGAATATGTAAAACTTGGAAAGTAGATATAGAAATAAAAGAAAATAGTAATTCCAAATGTTTTATTAGTTTTAAACAGCAATTATAAGTAATAAGTTGTTTAATTCTGAAATGTCGCTACAGTAACATTACAGTCTTTGAAATTAAATTAATCTCCTATTGAAATATTTCAAAAACCAATTAAATGCAATTGTCAGTTCACAGTTTCTAGACCTATTCTCTATGGAACTATGGGAAGCTGTCATATGGACCCCGAGACCTTGTCCAATAGCCCAATAGCCAATGAGCCTTGAAACTTAAAACTTACAATCACTGTTTCATATGTACAAAGTGGAAAATATTTACAAGTCAAATTACACACATCATACACACAAATCCTCCTGTACTACAACGCACAGGGAGACACAGACAGACAAACTTTCACCATATGCCACATTGTCTCCTGTTCCACCTAGCAAACTGTCAGGGTCCAACATCAACACAGCTTCAAATGTTTCATAATAAAAAGCTATCAATAAATAATCACAGGACTAGACCCCGACCAAAGCTATACAAACTTAAGGAAAATGAGTATATTTCCTGCAACAGGATCCGTAAGTGAGCCGTTGTATTGAGCACACCGGTGATACAATCTCTGCAGTCACCGGAACTCACTTTATACACTTAAATAGTTCCTATATCCAACAGTTTGTAACAATTTAGTTCGGAAGAGTGTCCATGAGTATTTCTTTCACACCTGAACCTAATCTGTCCGGGAATTTGATGTCAAATGCAACTAGCAGATCACCCTTCCTCGTCGGCTCCTTGGGGAATGGTAGACCATATCCTGGAAACCGTTTCACAGTGTGTGGCTTCACAACCTCTCCTTGCAGGTTCACTGTTAACTTCTCCCCTGACATTGTTGGTACTTCAATTATTGTGCCACATAAAGCCTGTAAACAAAGAAACACCATTATTAGATATCTTACCAATAGAGAATGATAAATTTAAATATAAATTATACACTTCAGATTTGTTTATAAACAAATACAGATAATGAGTATGACTTGTGAATTATAAAAATTAAAAAAATAATTTGTTTTATTATTGTTTGCTTACCTGTTTCAATGAGACTTTAGCTGTATATCTGATATCGCTGCCTTCTCTCTTGAACAGTGGGTTAGGCTTGTCTC